CATGATTGCCAGCATCCTGAAGGGACATGGCACATAGAAAAAGAAACTAAAAAGAAAGAATAGAATCAATTCTGGTTGGATAAAGTTCATGCTGTGACTTCCAAGTAACAGAAATAGATTTAGATATGGGAGATTTAAATAGCAAAGTTAGCATCAAATGTAGTCCATGTCAAAGCCTGGAACTGATCACCTATAGTCTTTCATCTCTATTATGTTGACTGTCATCAGTTTTGTAAGAATAAAATATCCTTGTTATCTAATTACAGAAATATTCTCTATTCAAATTGAAGCCTATTATCATTTCCAAATCCTAAGTGTCTCTATCTCCACGCCCTAATTCCCCAAACTCTGTACCACACCCTGATAATAAAATCTAATGCCTTGGGCCTTACAGTAATAGAAATAGAGCTAAGACAGATAGTCACCCAAAATAGAAAAGAAATCAATGTAAGAATTTTAAGGAGGAGATTATAACAGGTGTAACAGCAAGCGGTTATTTGTGGAAGAACGGATTCTAATGAAGATCAGGGATAAAGAAAATAAAATAAAAAAAATTTTATTTGAATTGCATTATGCAGGAATTATCGACAATCTTTCACCTCAATGTCCGCAAAATGACAGTGTGTCCCTTGACGTCACTATTATTTTAACTACTGACACTCCTCTGGTATGTATATTGTTTTAAAAAGAATATTTTTTAGAATTGTAATAAAACCTAAACATGGGATGAAAGTGAATTTATACTTTTTTTTTGTTCTTGAGAATTTACAAGAAAAATATTCAACATCAAGCAACATTTAATCTAGCTCCTGTGGAGGGCTCTTGATTGTGTCTTCATCACAGTAGGTGGGGAAGGAGTAGATGTGATAAGCAACAATAAACTAAAGAAGAACTCAAAATTGATTGCTGCATTTCAATATTACATTAATATTTAAGCTTACCTTTTAAAAGTTCAATGATAATTCTTCTGCCACCACTTAATTTAAAAACAATTTGATGTATGTAGGTCCTTACTTTCCAAACAAAAAACTTTTTATTTCATGGGTGACTTTCACTGGATTTCACAATTAATTTTGATTATTCCCTAATTTATTTCCAAGTCATGAAAATTGTTATTGTACAAAAAAATTTGTCACAAAACATCACTGAAAACAATGCAGTAATGAACATTTCAGGATTGTGTGTTTCAATTCAGCCTGGAATGTTTTTAATTTGCTCACGGATTCAGCCTGATTCCAAAATAGTATGATATGTTGGACTATGGCCTCTAGGAGTAAAGTTGAAAAAGTGTAACACAGTGACATTAACATTTATTATATAGATTTATTTATTAGATTGGTTATTTACAAGAATGATTTTATATTTACAGCATTCTAAAAGTTAATACAATCGTATTAAAACTGATGCAATGCAATATTTATCATTTACCAATTCATAAAGAAATAAATATGAAAAAAATTTTATTCATAAATTTATAAACATTTACTAAATTATTAAAATATGTGAAACAACTATAAGGAAATCCTTAATATTTACCATTTTATAAAGTTCAAATTGGCAATTAGCCGATGCTTGGCCAACCGTTCCAATAAACAATATAGTAAATAAATAGTGTTTATTATTTTTGTTGTTGATTCCCAAGAAGAAAGAAAATGTATAAATTCACATTCATATGTTTATTAAAATTCTAATCATTGCTTTTTAAAACAGTAAACATTGCTGAGGAGTGAAGGTAGTTAAAATAATAGTAGTGTCAAGGGAAAAACCGTCTTTTTGACACACCATTTTTATGAGCATGGAGATTAAAGATTACCAAATTATTTTTTTAAAAATTAATGAACTTATTTTTTAATCCGATATTTTTATTACTTCAGATTTATAGTGGATACTTCTTATATGAAATAGACACCCCATTTTTATTTATTAAACAGTGTGAATTATGTCTGTCAGGTCTGCACATTAGAGAAAATGAAAATGTGTCCTCCGCCAGGGATCAAACCTACATCCCCCTTTGTAGGGGAAACTACTATTTAATCCAACCTGCTTTATATTCCTTATTATGGTAAAAAGAGCCTTGCTCACTGTGAAGTCATTCATGGGTGTGTAGTAGAGCATGCCAGATTAAATGATAGTTTCTCCTTTAAAGAGGGTCAAAGGTTTGATCCCTGCCTGAGGACAAATTTTCTTTAATTAAATTTCTTAAGTGTGTAGGCTGATAGATGTAAAATAAAATTAATAATTAAAAATTGGGTATCTATTTCAAATAAGAAGTGTTCACTATAATAACCTTTGACTTAATAGGAATTATCTGTAATGGTAAAATGCAGTTAATGTTAATTTTCTGCAGAAATTATTGAAGTTATTTTGTCATAGTGGGACATTTCATTTCATTCCCATTCAATAATGGAGTGAATTTGCTCTGTCCACATGCTTTGTAAGGACTAAATAATCCTTGTAGTCTCTATGTATTTACTATAAGTTCTACAAGAGCTTTTCTCTGAAAATGTTTTTGTAGAGATGAGTGTTAGGTTTGTTTAAGAAGACTGATATGGAAAACAGGTTTAAATAAGCTACAAGATGAAAACTAATTAGAATATATGAATATATTTGTAATCTTTTTATTCTAAAAGACATTCAGATTCTTGTTTTCATTCTCGTACTTTATTTTTTTTTTTTTTTATTACAACATTTTGACTGATCCATTCTAGGGCCTTCTTCAAGTGTACAATTTATATAGACAGAGTGATAAGGAGAAGTATTTCTTTTATTTCTCAGTAGTCTCTACCAATATTTTATTTCCCTGCTTTCAAGTATACCAAATTAGTATTTCAAGAATTTTCGCTGATCCATTCTACAGCCTTCTTTATATATAGATCCCATATGGAAAGTAAGATGGATCTTATCTAAAAAATGGTGATAAATATACTTGATTGGGCCAATTCATCATGCCAAACTCCACAGTATCTCACAAGCAATTCTAATATTTACAAAGTTTCTGTCTGTTTTCCTTGCTTAACAAAGACTCATTGGCCTAACATACAATATTGCTGGCCTATAAGATCTCTTGCCACCTTCACATTTAATGGAAATGATAAAATTAGCCATTTCTATACAGGAAATATTTGCTTTCATTGACTGAACACTTAAGAGTTACTGTCAGTTAAAATTTTTAAAAATTTCTTCCAAAAAAACAATATTTCAGGAAATTAAACTTCTCAAATCCACTATTATTGCTTTTTGTAGTATTGATGGGAGTTTCCTACCAAACCTTATGTTTAAGGTAGTGTGAAAAGTTAACATCTTGAGTATATCTTTATTTTATTTTCTTGTTACTTTTCATGTGTTAATCATTTTTGTTGTTGGGAATGTTCAGCTGATGCGGTATTTTTTAGTTTATTTTGTTATTTTGTAGCACCAGGGTTTGATAAAGGATTCTTCTTTAAAATTTAATGGATGTGTTGATTTGAAGTCATTTTTAATCTGAGAAAATGATCGTCTAGACATTTTTGAATGAATTGGACACTATACATGGCATCTATAGGAAAGTCTAGATCTGATGAGGCTATTTAAGAATATAACTGTTGCTTTTGTAACATCTTACTGTTATTGGACAAAAGTACCCATATGAACTTAAGCTAGCTACATTTATTGATGGCCTGTAATGTCTGGATAAATCCGATATGCCAACTTTTATATATTTATATATAGGATTTATATATATATATATAACAGGCAGTCTTATATACCATCAAATATGATGGGTGCATATTTTTATATTAATAACTAAAGTCATACCAACTTGTTCATTTCAGTTTTTGACTATGTTTGTCAAATTGTCTGTTTCTTTGTTTAATTGCCATATACCATGAAAAACATTTTCAAGTTTATTTTCATTCAGTGTTTGAAAAAATCAAAATGGGTGTGTTTTTTGGGGGCGGGGGGATAAAACCATATTACTTCTGTTTTTTGGTTTTAAACAATCTACCTAAAGCAAGGCAACTAAGATGCATGGGTTTACTGGAAGTGGAAGAGAATGAGAAGATTTTAGTGAGGAGAAGGGACAATAAAAAATTAGAAGGTTCACCAGGGTTATTAAAGACAGGAACTACAAAATAAGATTTCCAACAAGTTGGAAGGCAAGAAGCAGCAAGGCATTTGTTAAAAGAGTTTGAAGAGAACAAGTACCAGTACATGAGCACATTTCTTCAGGACAATTGCAGAGATCCCATCTAGTCCATATGCTGTCCTGGGTATGACAATAAACTAAATCTGCATCCTGGGTAAGATGATAAACTATGTCCAACAGCAAGGAGGTTTTGAGGAACGTGGAAACATCTCTTAATTGCTGGTGTTCCCAGGTTCACCCTGACCCAAGGTGGTAGCACCAGTTAGGGTCCCAGCTATGGGCAAATAGTTAATCCCCAGACTGGGGTCAAAACACTATGAAAGTGTAAAAATAGGTTTTAATACCAGAAATACTTTGTAAAAAAAATTATTACCAGCAATACATTTTTGAAAAAAAAAATATTACCAGCAATACATTTCTTTAAAGAAAAAATATTACCAGCTATACATTTAAAAAAAAAAAACAAACAAAAAACACATTACCAGCTATACATTTTTGAAAAAAAAATATTACCAGCAAAGGAAAATTATTACCAGAAATAAATTTTTTGAAGGAAAAAATATTACCAGAAATAGACTTTTGGAAAAAAAATATTATCAACAATGAAAATTTTGTCAGCATTAAATAACTCATTGAAGTTGATATGCCATAAAACAAAACAAACCCACATGCCTTGTGGGTATCAAAATGTGTTTGTATGCATGCATGTTTTTCTTAGGTTTTTAAATGAAAATTTAATTTTCTGAAGGCAACTTTTGAAAATGTTTTTTATTTCCTGAGAGTCAAAAATAATCTGCTTTTTTCACACTTTTCTTTCTTATTCAATAAAAATTTCAAGAAATGATGTATCACCATTTTCTTCTTCCAATTTCAGATGGAAGTGGCAGTAGTAGTTCTGGGAAAAAGAAACACCACCAGTCTGGACATGATTCAACCAACAAGGATACCAAACATATCTCTTTGAAAGATCTCAGCAAAAAGTCAGACAGAACTCTTAATGTTCAGGTATTTATATCATTTGTTATTCTTACAATTCGGTAATTTTGATTAAATTCTAATTCATGTTTTTAATAATTGGTATTAGGGTGCCTGAAAAGGATTTACATTTTTGACAGGTCTTTCCTTAAAAGTTATTTTATGTACACATCTAGACTATGTTTGTACTACTACTACTACTATTATTATTCTGACTTCTCAGTGAAGAGCTCTAGCTTGGTCAGCCTGTAATAAGCTGTTGAAAGTATGGAAATCAAAAATCAGCTACATCATCAAGATATGCATCTTCCTGGCTACAGTAGTCAGTCCTCCTGTATGGAAGTGAAAGATGGACCACCGATAAAACACTCTGCGAGAGGCTAGATGAATGCTGCACAAGAATATTAAGAAACTGCCTTTAATATACAGTGGGGTGCCGAATGACAGCCCATTTGAATTTATTATGCAAATCACATAAATATCAATAACTTGAATTGCTTTGAAAAATTTTTGTCAAATTTTAAATGATTAGCCAGCAAATTTAATTTTTTTACTTTAGCAAGCACAATTTCCAACATGATGATTTTAATTATTTCCCATAGGTCTGCTTTGTTGTCATATTGTTTGCTACCTTCATATAATTTCATCTTCACAATTGACCATAGATTTTTGATTGGATTCAGATTGGAACTTGATGGTGGCCATTCTATTATCTTTACTCCTGTAAACTTTTTATGCTCAAAAAATTTATGGGTAACCTTACACACTTAAGAAGGAGCATTGTTGTGCATAAATACACACTTTAAACTATGAGACTGGGACTTGTACCATTCAAAGAAAGTCTTGTTCATGAAATTGCAATAGTTTGCACTGTTTAGTTTAACTCCTTTATTGAATGGTACAATAATAGTTTGGTCAACAATTCCAGCTCATATCAGCATACTTCTGCCTCCTTCCTGCCTTCTTTTAGCCACAGGCACACTTGCATTGGATAAAATCTATCCTTTGGCCCATCCACCAAGTCCATCAAGTGTCATCCAAGATTCATCCATGAAAATTACTTTAGAAAAGTCAATTTTTATGTATTCCTTGGCCCAATTTTGATACTTTAAATATTTACTTTACTGAGAGGAGTTTGCCAAGATTTCTTGACAGATCCCAATTTACGAAGTATTCTACATCTTTTGTCCTTCTTGTTCCCTTAATTCTAGCCTGTTCAAATATCTGATCACTAGTCAAAAGTGGTTGTTTTGCTATGACTTAGTTTATGTTCCCCTCAAGGGGACAAGTTCTTAAAACTTTTTCCTTTGTTCTTAGTTTTTAACTTAGTTATATTTTCAACAGCTCTCTTTATTGTTTGACGATCTTTGCAAAGCTCCTGTGATATCTCCAATGTGCGTATTCCCTCAATCAATATCTTTGTTATTTTCTGTTTTTCAGCATTTCTTAAATCCTTTCCATTCCCCATGTTTCAAAATATATTATAGAAAAAAAAAAAAATAGTTTTTATTAGTTTCCAGAGGCCTTCAACTAATATTAGTTTAATTTGCTTTGGTCAGTCCATTTTTCAACATTTCAAAATATAAGGAGTGGAAATGGACTAGTTTAAATTTGACAAGTATTGGTTCTGGACTTTTTAAGATACTCAAGTTTATATGATTTACATAATAACTTCAGATAGGCTGTAATGAGTGAGTATCTTTATGGAAAACTAATCCCAGCCACAAAGAAGATAGCATTCAGAAGTATGGAGCTTACTAGACATCTCTTCATCCAAAAAATATTGCATCAAAACTCATTTTATGGCAACCATTTACAGGATGAAAGAACATTGGCCACAAGCTATGACATTCCCAGATGCACTTATGCATAATACTGGCATTGAAAATTGGGATGAACTCAAGAAAGCTATGATGGATCAGGACAGTTGGAAACAACATGCCAAGAATTTGTCAGCAGAAGCTTGGTCAAACTTGACTATTATTATTATTTTTCAAGAAATTGGTATGAACTTCACCCAGACCCCGTTATGAAGATATGACCTGTAACAATTTTATGGGACTTTACAATATATATAGACAAAACAATCAAAGCTAATATGATTAAAGACTGCAAAGACAAAATGTGCTTTCTTATTGACAAGTAAATCCACATCTTACAAAGGGCTTTATCTATGTAAAATATGTGTGATTTTTTTTTTTTTCAAAACTACTCAGTAGAAAATGATGGCATTTCTGACCTTATGTTTCTGGTTGGAACCAAGAAAGAAATGAGTATACACCAGAAATCAAAGGAAATAATAATAATAATAATGACTAGAAATAACTGTCAAAATTTCAAAGTTTTACTATTTTAATTTTCTAATGAATGATAATTCTTAAGCTAATGACTGAATAGGCTCCTTTCAAATTCTACAACTATAAAATACCCATGGAAATTCTCTTATTGCATCTTTAAATATTCAATTTTAACAACTTTAACAAGATATTGCAATAACAATCATAATTATGAATGCAGGTTATTATTTAAAGAAGTAAGAGGGTACAAATGAAAAAAATTCAAAATTGACTAGGTTTTCCATTTCACTGAAGCAGATGCTAAATATATGAAAGTGTTATTTCCTCCTCCTCTTTCTTTCTTTCTTTCTTTATTATTATTATATGTGCTTTCTTTTTCTCACTAAAACCAAAGAGTTTCTGATATATTTTTCCTTCCATCTTTCCTCACAATCAAAACAAAGTGGTCCATTATTTATCTGACACAATGTCAGAACATAATGCACATGCTCACTTACTAACTGAGGAACAAGCAGAATTATAATATGACAGAGATAACAAAGTTATTTTAAATCAAGATTTACAATTTTACAGAGATTATTTTCTTTGATTCATTACATTTGATGTATAAATATTTTGATATGGTACCGACAAAACCTTGTTACTATTTGCTATATTTGTCTGGAGATATAATTCTTTAAATGTTTATCACATACGTATATTCCCATCATACCGGGCTTGGTGGTTTTGCCGTTTAACATCAGTAAATGAGAGATAAAGGTTATAATTTAGTCAAAGAATCATGTTCAGTTGAACGGACCTTCTACACTGATTATCAGGTCAAAGATAAAAGGGAATATACATACACTAATGGAAAAATAAAAGCAAAAACAACGATAATAAAACCTGATTATACTTCAGATCACAAATTCCAAACTCTAGAAAGGTTTCTATAGAATGTGAATAGCACATAATCCTCTTGTGTGATAATCACATCATAATCTGTAACTTCTAAATTGAAATTATTCTGGAATTTGGTTGTTTTCAAATAACACAATCTTTATCATGCATGAGCACACATATATACAGTTAGTTGTCTATACTCATTAACTGGAAAATAGGTTTTTGATGTCTATCCTAGAGTATTTGTGAAACTAAAGCAGAATTTTATGGTTGCATGTTCTCCTATCACTCTCTAATACTCATACATACATTTTGTGATGTTAATAAAATATGTTGTTTTAATGGCTTTGTAAGATACAGCATTAAAAATTGTTAGTCTAGTTGACTATCTTTTTTGTCTAGTATGTCTATTCATAGTTTTCCACAGCTTCCTGGCTTTTGTTGCTCTCAGCAGTACTATTGTAAGTAATATGTATTATATTGTAATTAATTTTCTTTAATCCAAGTACAATTTTACAATTTAAAATAGTTCATTGTTAATGTTCATAATTGAATGGTGTACTATTTATAAACACCTCAGGAAAGATGTCTGTATTTTATCCTCATAAATGTTACATATTTAAAACCAAAACTTTTTTTACAGCAAAAGTTTCCAAAGCACAATATTTTTTGTGTAAACTTTGGAAGGTCTGAGTAACCTTTGACAGTCTATGGATTCAATCTGTAATTCCAGAGTTTGGGAAAAAAGGGGATTGTTACACACAACAAAAAAAAATAGTTAGAATTTAGTTCTTACTGTGAGCTGTATCAGGAGTGTTTGGGGCAGTCTCTTTGTAGTTTGTCAGCATGGTAGCTTTTTGTGTGAATAGGGTTTTGACTTCTGTGTGTTTCATGTCAAAATTTTACACACTGCCCCTCATTTGTTACACACACAAAAAAACACATATATATATATATATATATATATATATATATATATATATATTAAGAAATGGACAAAGTCCGACAATTTATTTATTAAAGACATTTTTATGTTTAACGTTCTTTTTTATAGATACAAGTATTTAAGTAAATGCTCTGTTTTATAATAAACAGTATTAAATAACATTTACCGGCCTGAATCCTGTCAAAGGACGAATATTTTCTATGAAAATTTCTCGGACATTCAGGCCGGTAAATGTTATTTAATACTGTTTATTATAAAACAGAGCATTTACTTAAATACTTGTATCTATAAAAAAGAACGTTAAACATAAAAATGTCTTTAATAAATATATATATTGAGAGAGAGAGAGAGACAGAAAGAGAGAAAGATACTCCTCATATTTGGTTAAACTTTTCAATCAGGTTTTCACTACTTTCCTCTTCTACACTTGCCTTTGATACACCCTGTGAGTGTTAAATTCTCTGAGCCTTCCTTCCTCATTATGTGTGCCCCAAATTTATATCATTGTTTTCTAAATGTTAACAACTGTTTATTTCTAGTTTGTACTTCATAATTCCATGCTTACAGTTTCTTAACTTGTCTAAGATTACATGTTTTATTATCTTAATCCCTATCTTCTATTGAGAACAAAAGACTTGGCCATCAAGTATATTTTTGACTAGTGAGATATTATCTTAAAAGCCTGACAAAATATCTCATTCTAGTATTGTTGTAACCTAGGGAAGGTTACTGAATAGAATAATCACACACAGGTTGGTAATGAACGATAATACTTAGAACAAGAACAACACATATAAAATTTGCCAGCAGCACATAGAAGAAGTAGTCAACTGCTAGAAGTGAGTCAAGTGAATTCCACAATGAATCTCCAACTGCAGACCAACATAAAGTATTTACTACTGTAT